GTATTTCAGGGTTTTGTTCACAAGTGAGGGAAGAATAAAGCGTGAAATTGTTGAGATTATGATAATGTTATAAAGTACCCTAATTTCTGGACTATTGAGCGCACCTGAATATAAGCCACGCCCACTCAAATTATAAAGAAAAAAAAGTACATACTGTATATAGGCCACACTTGCATAAGCTGAGGGTGTCTATGTTGTAACACGCGATATTTATACAGAAAGATTTTTTTTAAAACTTAATTAAATATGTACCGTAACATACACAAATACATGCTGTAAATGTTAAATTTTCAGAACAGTATATGTAACAAAGCTGCTTAAAAAAATAAAATACATTAGCCCTGTTTGGTAATTTCTTTGGTCAGATTTAAAAAAAAAACCTTTATTTATACATGTAGTCTCAATGAGCCACAAGAGAGACGTGCATTGGGCAGCAATGTGAGCGCCCGGATGTGATGAAGCTAAATGTTTTGGCGGCATGAAGCTCGTTAGCCTGTCAAAAAAATAAAAATAAAAAAATTCCATGAATTAGCCACAGCATTGTACAAGCTGCGACGTTCAACGTGTGAAAAAAGTAGCGGCTTATAGTCATATAATGACTATTATATATATATATATATATATATATATATATATATATATATACTCAATAGTGTATATATATAATGTGTGTGTGTGTGGGGGGGGGATTACATTTACAGTATACATGATAACATTGATATCATATTTATATAGAGTGAGGTTCTGCCTCAAGTGGAGGAGTCCAAGAATTTCAGGGTTTTGTTCACAAGTGAACTCAATATATATACAAACTCAATAGGTGTCCCTATTGAGTTTGTTGATTCCTACAAATATTTGGGTTAATTTTGTTAAATATGAATAGATATGTGTTTAACTGTACAATAACCTATTACAGTTTTAGAGCATCTACTTGTGCATGGTCTCCAACAATTTGGTTTCAGGAAACAACACAGCACAATGTTTTACTGAAGGTTTTTAATGATGTTGAAGCATTGGATGCTAAGGATCATTGTGCTCCACTTTACTTAGACCTGTTTAAAACTTTTGACACTGTGGACCATGACATCTTATGCAATAAGTTCTCAGAAATTGGTTTTGCAGATCATACCATTGTTTGGTTCTCTATCGCTCAGATCACATGCAACATAATGGTATTTCTTCCAGTTATCTAACACTCAACAATGGTGTACCACAAGGCTCAGTCTTAGGACACATCCTCTTTACAATCTACAGGGTGTAGAGGCAGGGTAGCCGGTTCGGGACCCAAAAGCCCCAGGTTCAATCCCCGGTCACTGCATACCTCATGGTGTCTATAGGCAGCACACCTTATCCCCAAAATGCCCCCTGGGCGCTTTCAATAGCTGCTCACTGCACCACCTGGTGGTGGATGAGTTAAATGCAGAGACTTATTTCTCCATTGTATGGAAACATACAGTGATGATAACGTGATGATATTATTATTATTATTATTATAGGTAATGTAGGACAGAGCATCCCTGATGCATCCTTACATTTTTATGCTGATGACACAGTTGTTTACTGTCGAGCTAAAACAGTTGCTAAGGTTTTCCAGCTTTTGCAATCAGCCTTCGACATCATCCAGTGTCACAAACTTATCCTAAAGGTTGATAAAACCAAATAATCAGAATCAGAATAAATTTTATTATCATTGCACCGAGATACAACAAGAACATATACGTACAGTCGTCCGAAAGATGGGCGGAGTGCATGAAGCTGCTACTATGAAAGCGCGGCCCTCTTATTCTTATTCAGAATAATATATTGCTTAGATGAGAAAAGGAAAGAAAACATGAGGAGAGACGGTATAAAAAAAGATCTCTCATGCCGTGTCCAAGACAGGGAACAATTTGAGGCATCAAAAAAACCTCCCACAGCAAAGCAACATAAACAGACGTTATACATGTACATATAGGCCGATGAAGACATTGAATTTTTAAGGGAAGGTCGTAGCATAATCCAGAGCCCCCCCCCCCTCTCTGCCATTGTCCAGATAAGATGTGTTATTCATCATCAGCTCGGTTGAAGTTCTGTCACATGTCCACGGCCTTGGGGAAGGGAGTGGTGAGGAGACAGTCAAAGCATCTTTGTTTTTTCTAAACATGCCAGGAGGAGTTGAGATAAGTCCGCCGTCAAGGCCACAGTTTTGGGTCAGGCAGAACTCGTGAATTGTTGTTTCTGCCTTTTAAAGTCTTGCTGGTATATATTCCTCTGATGGAAACTCCAAACAATCGAATTGATCCTTTACGTCAAAAGTCGAGCTCTCAGCTTCTCCAAGATTATTCCCACCTTCATGTGTGCTGCTAGAGAGTTCACAGTCCTGATAACAGCCTGCTCCAGCTCTGACGCAACTGCACATAATTCAGTCTGAGCGCTGCCGAGCTTCGACACATCCACACAAATTTGTTGACAATCCAGAATTCACCAGCCAAACAGCAAAATAACCAGTTGTCATCATGAATCCAATTTGTTTCCGTCGAGGTAAGACGGTCCTCCTTACCCTGACTCCTGTCGGGAGAAGTTGATCGATTTTGTTGAGAGACCAGCTGATCCTTCGAATTAGGAAGGTATGCAGAAAAAAATAGAGGCTTTTTAAGGGTTCACAGGACAAAAGAGTGCAAGCAGGGAAGCTGGGGGGAGGGGGGTACGGAGCACCCCCGGGAAACACGTCTGTCTTCACTGGAGTACAGAAAAGAAAAAAACAAAAAATCAAGGATGCTTTTTACAAACAGGAAGTCGGTCCCAACATTTCTTCCTTTGATTTTATCCTCAAATGGTGTCCCTATTGAGTTTGTTGATTCCTACAAATATTTGGGTATCTTGGTCGACTCACATCTCTCTTTTAAGCTCCACATGGAAAACCTAGTAAAGAAACTAAAAGTTAAACTGGGTTTCTTTTAGGGATGCACCGATCCACTTTTTTTACTTACGATCCGATCCCGATACCTAAACCTGAATATCGGCCGATACCGATCCAGTTCTGATATCATGATCATCATTGATTTTATATGAGGCTGTAATAATCTCCTCTCAAGTACAAGTTGTACAAATATATGCATGCATGTCCAAAAAGGCAACTTGAGGTAAGTTTTATTAATGTTGGATAAGTTTTAAAGTTAGAATTAAATTCTAACACAAAACATGTTTATTTTTATTCCTAGCTTTAAAGTGGATATTAAAGTGATTAATTTAAGGGATTGTTTAATTTTTTTTTTAAATAAGTGGCAGATATGATTTTTTTCTTCTTTCTGCACTCTTTTCATTCAATGTTTTCTTTTTGATGATTTTTTAAATTTTGTTTCTTTTAAATGAATTAATAAATTAATTAAATTAAATTAAATATTAAATGGCTTCAAACACCTGCTAAGTTCATGGCATAAACCAACAGACATGTTCCTGTTTTTAGTGTTTTACATCACTTGGTAATGTAGCTGTCTTTTGTTTTTAATATATATAATTTTCAAATATGCTTTTTTATGATTGTCTACTGTTGTACTGATAAATATCTCCTGGAGGGTAAACTATATCTTAGATGCAAATATCAAACTGTGAAATCCTTTGTTTTCTACAACTGATAGTGGTTGGTCATTAATTATGAAGTTTAGCAACTTCTCTGTAAACATCTCAGCTCCATGGTTTCAGCGATGTCTTCTTCTTGTTCAATCCGAAGCAGGCAGCCTGATTTGGGGCAGCCGTGCTCAGTCTGTCCCTCCTCAGAGACGAGCAGACTGAGCGGGGCAGATTGGACGCAGCTGGCCGAGGTTGAGTCGCCTCTTTGGGATTCAGCGAGAGTAGCGCCCCGCTGAAGCCACGGAGCTCGAATGTCCATCGTAAAACTAACTTTACCGTGGTTTAATATGGCGCTATGGCTCTGCAGACATTGCACGTTGCTGTCTTGTTTTGTGGTGTTTAGTGTAAAATACTTCCACACAGCGGACATGTTTCGATGAAAAGTTTGTTAGCAGTTAGCCACAGTGCTGCTAACTCAGTTCTCACGTTGTAGCTGGCTGCAAACTATGAAATGGATTTCCTGAATGTGAGGCGGGTCTTATTACTCTGGGTTCATGAGACACGCTGCCGTTCAGGAAATCCAGTCTATAGTTTGAAGCCAACATGCATCACGGATCGGAAATATCGGCACGTGGATCAGAAAATCCGATACGTAAATTATGCTGGTATCGGAGGCCGATACCGATACTGGATCGGATCGGCCCCATCCCTAGTTTCTTTTTCAGAAATAGATCCTGTCTAACTCTGAATGCTAGGAAACTCCTTGTAACTGTGAATTTCCTTACGGGGACATTATTTACATGAACGTTCCTACAAGCACCCTGCAGATGTTGGATCAGAATCAGAATCAGTTTATTATCGCCATGTCAATGAACGAGGTTCACAAACTAGGAATTTGCTTCGACATAAGGTGCGAATAGTAATAAAGTAAAATAAAGTAAAAATAAAGTAAAAATTAAGTAAAAATGAGAACATTACATAAGACATAAGACCTGTGTACACCCACAAATAAAGTAAAAATTAAAACATAACATAACCATGTGTACACCCATACAATAGAAAACAATAAAAAAATCTTAGAAAACAGTACAGATGGACTATTCAGTTATAATTTTTTTTTTTTTTTTCATTTAGCCTTTATTTATCCAGGTTAGTCTCATTG